ATATATATATATATATATATATATATTTGCATGCAAGCACAAAGAGGAATTAAGATGGATTACGTTAGAGCAGCCTCAGTGACGACAACGGCTGCTGCTACACTGTGACAACGCAGCCCCATCGTGCATGCGCGCCTTGCTGGTACTAATTAACCTTCGGTTGAATGTTATGTGTTTTTCTTACTTAATCCTGTGAGGATATTCTATTGTAACTCAAGCTACTTGCAACATACTCCGAGCTTCCAGCTAGTCATAGTCCGTTGGTATGCCGCATGCGTGGGCTTCGCGGCTTCGGCCATTCGAATCTTCCTCTGAAATCTGCGAACTTTGGGGTTTGAAAACCTTTCCGTTTTTAAATCTTGCTTGAACTATAAGTCATAAAGAGAAGCGTTCCAGGATCCTACAGGACCTGCAGCTGCAGCCGAAATGGCGACTACCCCGAGTGCGAAGGCGCTCAACTTGGCGCGTTCAGCCGAGGCGTTGTGTGTGCCGTTGGGGGAGGCTTCTTGCTGCCGTTCAATTGTCAAGCAGGACATGCAGCAGCTGGATGACTGTGTGGAGTTCCTCGTGCTGGGCCAGAAGGTGAAAGGCGATGCAGCATTCTCTTCAGGGCCCCCCCGGCTAAAATATGAATCCCCTGGGAAGCTCGCAACCATAGGGGAAACGCGCGGCGATGCCAACCAGGAAGCAGATGGTATATTTACACAGCCGTCTACGAGCGGATCTGCTCCTACATGTGCCGCTGCACCTGGGCGCTGTACTGTCACGTCGAGGCAGGGCGTAAGCTTCGATTGGTTAGTTGCACTGGGGTGTCTGAACTGTGGGGCCCCAATAGAGCTGCGCCGCGATCTGGTAACAGCAGCAGAGGAAGCAGTAGCAGCTGCCGCTGCATGCGCGAAAGGCGGTGGTGCTGCTGCTCTTGCTCTAGCGGCTGAGAAGGCAGTGCTGCGGTGTCGTCGCTGTGGGCATGATATCGCTCCTCTTCATTCTTCTGACGAATCGGAATCTCTTATAGAAAGAATGGAGGCGCGTACCTATGCTAAACCAGGCCTCGCCTCTGGAGGGGTATACATGTACGGCAGCCGCAGCTGCTACAACTTCGGCTCCGTGAGCAAGAAGGGGTGGCAACAGCGGTTTTTGGGGGCTGAGTTCGAGCAGCAGCAGCTGCAGCATCACCTCAAAATCATGCTTTCTGCAGGAGACGGAGGCAACAAAAGCACCTGCAAGGAGATCTGCGAGCGTTGCGGACACACAGAGGCTTTCTTCTCAACTTTCCAGGCAAGAAGTGCTGATGAGGGTATGACGGTGATGTATGAATGCACCAGTTGCCATCATAGAAAGGTGTTCAACAACTGACAGAAACAACAACAACGCCAGACAGGATGCGTATGCAGCGCAACTCAAACCAACCGTGCCTCCGGCTTTGCAGATCTTGTCACTGTAAACAACAAACGCATTTAGGACCTGAAACTCAGCAGATACTGTTTTCTCTTTTGTGGACTACCGAAAGAAGATGCATGGCAGTCTCCACAACTGCCTGGGCAACTTTTGTTGTCTGTGTACCCCTCAAATCTGTGACGTGATATTAGTCACTCCCCTCAAGGAGCAGTTGCATAGCAGAGGGGGCTGTGCTCACTTTATTCTTTTTTCCGGGGGGGGGCGTGCTGAATTCAGGCCTTCAATAGTTTTTGGAGTAACTTTTTTTTTTGAAAAATTTAACTCACAAACCTGCTGGTATTCATTTCTCTGTTTCGACAAGCCTGCACAGCCTGCCTTAATGCTGCTTATCTGGTTATTAAAGGAAGTACAGAAATGCGAAGGCACACCAGACTGAGTTATCACCTGTATACAGATGTGATCTGTGTGTATTCTGATGTGGGTCTTATAGACTTGTATATTTCCTCCATATATGACATCTATGCTGATGTGTTTGGGGAGAAGGTTGTTGCGTTTTCTTGGATCGGGAACAGTGGATTTGTTGCAATGGTAAAACCACTTATTTCTTCCAGATGAGAAGCAGTAGATGCATTTCGAGGCAGTTTGCTCTGTTCACAAGCAGCTTTTTCAGGCGCAGCCGAAGTGTTCCCATAGGCAACAGCGTTCACAATATACTCTCTAAATTCAGCATAGAATTAAAAGAGAACATATACCCCGTTTTGCCACCAAAGGCCAAGGTTAGCAGTCTCGACCAAGGGGGCCCCCTGGTGGGGGCCCCCCCAGGCCACCGGCCGACGAACGGGCTTCGGTCAATGCCGACTGATCGATTGATAGGAAACTCTGTGCAGCATTTCTGAACTTTCAAAACTAAAAATGTCAGGGTTCAATGGTTAGTTGGTTTTCTTCGTTACCCAATGCTCCGCAGCTGCGGTATCTATTTCTTGCGAATTTCAAGCGAAGCATCTCTTCCCTGTCCGCAAATCCCCTTTTTTACTCATCTCACACAATTAAAGAATTTAAACAATGACACGACTGCTTGTCTGAAGTATTGGAGGAAACCCGCGTTTGTCGGGGGGTCGCGCTTCTGCTCTACGGCTTTATGCGGTGGCTGTGATGTGGATTTCGCTGGAAACCAGGGAGCAAAATCAGTAGCGGAAAGCACTGCTCAACTATTCAAAGAAAACACTAAATCGCTGCACGGAAAACTCCTTTCTCGGGCCAACATGAACCCAACAAAACAGACAACAGCAACACCAGTTGTTGCCTCCGCAACATCTGAAGTACTGAAACCTCGTTCTGACGCACGCTTGGCCGTACACTCTTGTGAAACTCATGAAGGGGTCATCGTAGAAGATGCGGGGGGAGACGTGCTCCAGGGGAAAAATGAGAAAACGCGTCTCAAACGAAAAGACAATCACATGGCCTCCCTGCCCCCGGTTGCCAAGCGCAGCGGCCAAAAAGTTCAACGAAGCATCGACTCCTTCAACTTGTGCAGCAAAAAGCCACCAACTTCATTTTCGCCTTCTCCCGCCTCAGCAGTAATACGTAGCTCTGTGCTGCAGTGCGGCCCTTTAGGACCCCTTGACCCAATTCCCGTCTCTTTTCTTACTTGGAATGTCAACGGGCTGCTGCCTCGAGTTCGAGCATCCCAGTGGATGCAGTTTGCCGATTACGTGAAGGAAATAAAGCCAGTGAGTCGTGCTGATGCATTCATTAACGAGTGATTGGCGCGGTTCATGATTCTTTATCCCCTTAAGTGAATCTTTTAGATTGGCAAGAAACATGGTGGTAGACAATGTCAGTAGAATACGCATTCATTGTCGTTGTATTTTCTTTTTTTGCGTTTATCAGGACGTTATCTGCATGCAAGAGATCCGACTGCCCGCGATGGGCCCTGCAGGTGGGTCGGTATATTTGCTTTAGATCTGCCATTTATTAGCAGCACATGCATACCCACTGAATTCTTTCCTGCAGTGTACTCCCACTGCCCCGCTTTGTGTGTTTCACCAACAGGATGTCGAAAGAATGATGGACAGCCACGAGAACGTGGGGCAGTTCGTGCTGAAGCTGCAGGAGCAGCATCAGCAGCAGAAAAGAGAGAAGTGGAGACAATTGCTTCTTCTTTGCGTGCTGCTTTGAATGCCCTGCCGGACTACAACGTCTTAATGTCTCTAGCGGACTGGAAATACAGCGGTATGCATGCATGCAATGACAAAGATAGGTGCAATTAACTCCGTAGAGATCCTGAGAGGCAGCTGTTCCTAGAACTAATATATATATATATATATACTTATATATATATATATATATTTATTTATGGGTTTTGTCCGTGTGAAGATTGTGTTGGGTTGCGGCGATTCTGTAGGACAGTTTTTGCTGCTGAGGAAACACCTGCGGGTCAGCAGAACAGGAATGTTCTTTTATCTCATTGTCTCATTTTGTTTCCCTTACTCTCTTTATCTCCTTCCCGGCTTTTGCCTTCTGCACTCTCTTGTCTCTGTTGCGCCTTTTCTATCCTCACCCTTTTTGTCTCCCCGAGACTTGCTATCTCTATTCTTTTTTTCTCCTTCCCTTCCTCTGTTTCCCTTCGTCTTTTTGTCCCATTTCCTCTGTTTATCTCCCTTACTCTCCGGAATAATTAAAGTCTGTGTATTGTTCCGAACCTTCACATAGTGCGCTTCGCGTAAATGGTTGTATGCGCGCTTCGGCATTTTATCATTCTATTTCTTGTCGCTTGTCTCCTGGGTGCTTTATCACTTTATTTCTTGCCATATGCCTCCGATATTCTGTCGCCTTTCTTCTTGTTATTTATCACGTCAATTTTTACTATTTTTCGTGTTTACTGCGTTGATAATTTATGACTTTATTCCTCTCCGTGTACCTTTTTTGTATTTTGCCATCTGTTTGTAAGGTGGAGTCTATTCGTTACAATCTTAACGAGAAGGACCCAAGTATTCATCACACAGTACGTCCCCGCTTTTGCAGAACACTTCAAGAATTTCTGTGGGTTGTGATGATGCTGCTGCTTCACTATCTTTCCCCTGTCAGTGAGGGGCTGAGAACAAACCAATAATATACCAACGCCTCGCGCAGTACCTTGCTGGTACTGCTTCTCTTCCTAAGCAGCGGTTGCAAGAGCCCCACACGATACCATAGCAAGCTCTGGCTGTTTTGCCGCTGCTGCTGCTAACGCTGCAGCCGATGCTGCTGCTGCACCTTGTAATAAGTGGGTGAGGTGCTGGTGCGCTGTTTGTCTGTACAGGAGGGTCGGGTCATAGTGGCTGATTTTGGTTGTTTTGCTTTTCTCACAACGTCAGTTGAGGAGACATTTCACAACATCACAATATCTCTCTTCGTTTTTCTTCCATTTTGATTTGGGTCTAACAGATAATCGGAAACACGCTGACTGAGGCAGTTTTATTCGTTTGTTGCGTCGGGTAAGAATGCTTCAATTTGTTATGAATGGTTGATGGTTGGGTTTCTCAGATACTCGCCAAACAATGGATGGGCAGAAGGCAGTTTCCAAAGACGGAGGAACTGGGACGAGGCGCTTCTCAAGTTTATGCAACAAAGTGAGGGGTGCCCTCAAACGAGTAAATATATATATATATATATATTTAAGTATATATATTTTAACATATTTATTTAAATGTATATTCATGTATTTACGCACACATATTGAAGTGCCTACATTTGAACATCTATATATATATATATATTTGCATATGTATTTAAATCGGTGTATTGTACATAATTCACAAATTGCTTCAATATTCACGAATGTGAGGCTCTCGAAGATTTGCTGTTTAAACTGAACCATTTTGTTTGTCATTTCGCTGTGAAACGGGGCTGTTCAGCCGAAGGCGCATGCACCCAGACGAATCGGGATATGAAATATATATATATGATTCATACCATGCATTTAAAAAATGCGTATATAATATGTTTTGTATGTGCGGCTGTCAGTAGCGCTATAGTGTACTGGTTCCTCGCAGTAGGAAGAGCAGCATTTGGTTTTTGTTGCCAAATCTGCATCCATTGTATTATCTGCCTTCCTTCACTCGAGCGTCTTTTCAAAAGAGCATCTTCAACAGGCATTGCCTTTACTTCGTCCTACTACTCGCAGCAGCAATTGTTTGCGTTTAGGGTATAGAGTTTGGGGCATGCACTGCTATGCGTTTTTCCTGTGTCAGAGAAGAAGCCGCTTATCTGGATGGGGGATGTGAATTGGTGAGACGCCCCAGTGGGTCTCTAATATCGTCGTTTAGACTGACGTCTCACGACGATCATGTCCTCACACTTAATCAATTTTTCGTATTCTTCACCTCATTTAATCGCATTGAGCGTCTTGAGTTATTCTCGCAACTGAGGGTCGCCACCCGTGGGGCTACTCATTGTTTATTCGCCTCCTTGTTCTTCTCTTCTCATTGCTCGTCTACGTCCGTGATGCTTTTTGTTCTTCGTTGTTTGATTTGCTTTTGTAATGCAGCGCACCCACAGACGCAGATTTGTCGCACCCGAAAATATTTAGAAGTGCACATCAGCCTGACCCCAACCTCAAGCCAGTACGAAGGGACACCTAACCCTGCCTACGGAATATATATATATATGCATGTATA